CGTCTTGAAGATATAAATTCTAAACAATTCTAAAACTATGTTACATACAGAGCAATACTGCAGCTATTACATGATTGTTTGTACCTTGCTCGCGCCTAACACCCACAGTATCTCTGCCAAAACTTTCTCTTGGTTCCCTTGTACGCCTGCGTGTTACACACAAAGCTTGAAACCCGCTGGGATGGCCAAATTACTATTCATCTTACAACAACACGTAATCTTTTATATTCAAACACGGTTCTCCGGGCTTAGCTGCATTTAGAAATGTCAACTAACCTGCCCCAAGTCTGCGGCTGCAGGACATAGATGTGTCTCTCAGCGATCAGGTCCATCATGGGATGCAGCACTTAAGAATCGTTTTTGCTACCAAAGTCAGTAGCCAGTTTTTTTGGGGGACCAGGGCAGCTTACGCAGACAATTTGTCACATCAACATAGCCAAACATTTTCTTTCACACCCCTTCTTGTTCCTCGAATAAACGCACGGAAATTCTCTCCCGAAGCAATGGCCAGTCTTCGCCAAGTTGTTGCGGATTTAGCTCCATTGCGACTCTAAAATCAAGCAAAGACACCGGATGCTGTTCTTGTGTTATGTCAGAAGGTTGATTGCTAGTTTGTATGTGCAAACTATTGCTCGGCCGCACGCCGTTTACAATCTCATCTCGGCTCTGCTGTTTGTCTAAAGTTGGTTTCCCAGGCGTTGTTCCATTCATGGACCGAACTCCAGCCAAATCAATGCATGATTTGATCAGTTTCTTCAGGTACCTGTCCAACATGTTATTTAACATACCAGGACACTCCAGTGAAACCCCTGCAAGACCCTGTGTTCCTGCAATATTCTCCATCCGCTTTCGCAGCATCTCTGTGTCTGCTAATCCACCACTGTCATAGCAACTAATAAATTCAACCCCGGTAGAAGCTGGAACTGTTCTGCGCGCCCCACCGACACTAGCCGAGCAAAATGGAATCCCTAGAGGTGCAATTACAGGATTCGTGGAAAGAATCAATCTACCTCGCTCCTCTTGAGCTTCATCATCTCTGCTAACTGGAGCTGCGACCGTACCTTTATCCGGTATCCTCATTCTTTCAGCAGGACAAAGAAATGCACCGCCTCTTTCATCAGCATATAAACCTGATCTTTGATAAGCAAAATGACCTAAATCTCCGTTCTCTGCGTTTCTATTACCGGTTTTGTCTTCTCTACAAAGTGGCTGATGCAACAGACTTTCAACCTTTCCGTTTGGCCCAAGTGGACTAGGCCTATCTCTGATTGTCCGGTCACACGTTCCGGACCGAACCTTGGGTAACCCCCCATTTGACCAAACATGATCATTCCTATTATGGTTAGGGATTAGCTCAGGTCCATCTTCTTTCCCAAGCACCAACGACTTCTCAGGATGACCAGTTTTGTGAACAGCTGGTAGGGATTTAGCCACGGATGCATTTCTCAAGATCGAGCGAACCAACTTGTTGTGTAGGGCAAGATTCTCTCTCCCCAAAAGACGGTAACATGACTTATCAAACTCACTCTTAGTAAGCTTCTGACTCAGAAACCCCCCCAAGTAATAAAAATACCTTCTAGATCTTTCAACCCCAATCTTCTTCACAATAAGCACTTTCAACTCACCAAGATCAACCCTGTGATCTTGAGGACGCTGCATACTTCTTTGTGGTTCTTCGAAACCCGATGAAACAGTCAAGAGGAGTGCACAAAATGCACCCTCTCAGCGTCTAGTTATCCTTCACACCAACAAATCCAACTCATTCACTTATACAAAGTTCTCAAACTCAAATCCAATAGCATTTCAAGAACTTAGCTGAAGCTTTTAGTACAAACAACCCAGAACTCTTAAATCTAGTAGCCAATACAAATGCAAAGCCAAATCTCATCTCCTCAAAACCAGAACCCTAGAGATCATTATCTACTAACCAAAGCTCACACCAAGAACCTTAAAATTCCACCTCTACTGATTCAATATAACAAACCCTAGACCAAATCATTCCCTTAGAAGTAAGAATCACCAACCTAACCCCTTTTGACAACTTCACGAGCGTGTAAGAACAAGAAACTGCATCAGAGCAGAAAAACCCACCACTTTTTTCTTGTTTCAAGCCAAATTCGGAAGCTAAGAAGTTCAGAATTGCCGGAATTTCAGTTGGAGACAAAATCGAGATGAGTAGAGTTGGGAAATTGATTCGAGGTTTGAGAACAGAGCAACGAATTCCAATTTGCCTAGAAAAAAAGATTGGAATTCGAATTGAAGATTGGAGGAAGCGGGCAATGAGAAGCGGGACCCAAAGCTTTGTAAGAAGAGAAACAAGTGTTGGAAGATTGAATTTGAGGGTATAAAACTTTTTTTGCAAAGAGATTTGACCAGAATTCAGACAAAAACAAAACAAGTAACTTCTCCGACCAAACCCAAATGATTTCTTCTCGACTCCGTTTATAAATAATACTCTTTTAGCTTCGCTTCGATTAAATCTTCGTGGGCTTCTTCTTCTTGCTTTCAGATTTCAATGTCCGAGCTCTTCTCGTGTTTATTAGCTTCGATCTCTGCTTATTGGG